TACCTCCATAGTCTGCTGTCCCCCTTGTACTTGTCATCTCCCCTCAGTCTGTTTCAGTGTCATTGTTTCTGTTAATCATGCTCAGCTGTCAGTGGTTTGTAGTCAGTCTCTTTCACATGTTGTTCATGTCTCCTTTCCACGTGTGTGTATATATTCATGTCCTCCACATCTTAGCTGCTTCATTGTTTGGTATTTCCTGCTGTCTTGGTGTCCTCATCATCTCCCTGCGTCTCATGTATTTTTGTAAATTTGCTGCCGCGTCAGCGTTTTGTTTCTTGTTTAAATAAATACTTTTCTTTTTAAACTCTCAACCTCTGCCCGGACTTGGGTTCATTCCTCTGCTAACCTGACGATGGGACTCCTACGCCTCATCTTAAGCAGCTCATCTGAGCTTCTCACAGCGCTCACATCCTCTGCCGGGGTCCGAGCGCCAAACTCTGATGTCCTTCATGTCAATAAACCTGCAAGTCAATTCTGTCAATAAACTTCCCAATTTCAGTTTGTCTTCATGTGAGTCTCTCCAGGTTGAAGCTGACATTGACCAAGAAATCATATGATGTGATACGATCACAAGTATCTCTTGATGTTTCCATATCAGTATATTCAATTCAATTCAAAAATACTTTATTGATCCCAGAGGGAAATTAGGTAAATACCAAATCATACCCTTTGTCAAGTTGTCAAAAAGTTCTTTATGTCTTGGTTAATGTCAAGTGTAATATAATACTTAATACTTATTTGCATAATGAGACAGAAATGCTTAAGGTAATGTTAATAAAGGAGACAGAAATGTAATAGCAACACATGGAATTAAAAATGCAAAATACAAAAACAAAATATTTAAAAAAAATTGAATATAAATATTAAGAGACACAAATGCATGTACAAGTAAAAGGAAAAAACAATATATATATATTTAAAAACAACTGTCAAATGTAAATTATGTGCCAAAATATCCAATTTATTGGAACTAAGCTGGAAAAAATAAAAATGAAGGTCAACTAAATGATAAAACATGAAGTAAAGTTCTCCTTTTATCATTTAATTGATGCAATTTGCGTGTATTCATTTATTAGTCCATTTATATATTTTTACTTTTATTTATAATGAAGTCAGTTTTGGTCCTCCGTAACAATGAGCAACAGGATTGGCCTCACAGGTACTTCTTTGTGTACAACTGGATCCAGCAGCTTTTGGTCTTTTTTCTCTCAGACAAGCTGGTAAACAGACAGAAAAATCCAAGGAAAGAAAACAATTAAGTACTGACAAATATTGGTGCATAATATATTTAAATGTAAACGTTTACAGATGTTACCTGACAGCAGGTCCACTTGAAAAGCTTTTAGCAGGTGCAGGAGGGAGACCTTTAAAACAAAAGTACATTTACTTTTTAAGCTGAAGAACAAATACATGTGTCAAATGCCAATGCCATTAATTGACCTTACTGATGTAGAAATAACCTGCAAATCAAGCTCATGGCCAGCTCTTCAAATTGTGTCCTGCATTACTGGAGAACAAGAGTATTTCATTTAATTCCCATATAGTAATGAAAGTTAAACAAATATGAACACACAGACACATATGTATATAGTATTTTTGTTAATTAATTAGTTTGTTTTCTCATTGTAAATGAAACAGGATAAAGACAAACTTCATTTCATGGCACAAAGTAGCCTAAGTGATAAAAACAGCAATGTATAATAGGATGAATATACAGTGTAAACAGTCATTCTCAAACTGCAGTACTTCCAACATTCTGCTACTTGCTTTAACATCCCGCAGTCAACAGGGGTCCATGTGACCCTCCTATGATATATAGATATATTTTAAAGAGAAACCCACAGAGGAAATACCTCAGCAGATCTCTGCGTCTGAATAACAATAACATCACAGAACTGCATGAGCTCCAAACCACTGTCAGCCACTTCCTGGCTGAACCCTCACGCCTCGCCTGGCTTGACCTTTCCTTTAATAAAATCTCACACATAGACCAGGTGTTTAACAATAAATCTGTTTAATTAAAGATGCCTTGTATTGAATTGCTTGTTGCAAGTATGGTTTGTGTTGAAATATTTTGCAGGTTTTGTGCGAGTTGCATGGCCTCCATGTGTTATATCTTCATGGGAACAACATTTTCATTCTCAGAGGTGGACAGGTTGGGCGTTCTGCCTCATCTTCACTCCATCACTCTGCATGGAAATCCCATAGAAACCAACAAGACACACAGGTACTATGCATGCATGAATTCTGCAACAGATGCTTAAAAACTGATCAAATTCAACATCCACTCCCGTCTCTAAACTTTATCAGTTTGCACCAAAAAGGGCTACTGTTAAACTACCTTCCACCGAGGCAGTTTCTTATAAATCTGCAGCTTTTTCACCGATTTAAAGTGAAAACTGAGCATCATTATGGCCAATGTTTTGTTTTATTTTTTTTACTTGGTGTACACGGCTGTAAGCGTCTTCAGCATTCAGTTTTGTTTTGGCTGATGTAACTGCTTTTGTGTGTGTGTGTGTGTGTGTGTGTGTGTGTGTGTGTGTGTG